AACACCACGATAATATTGATGCAGAAGAAGATTGGTGTCGATGAGCGAGGAAAGATTGCAACACCAAAGCGCGGATAAAGAACGATGCGATCGGGAAATTAGAATTTTGGGGCCTTCCATTGAAATCCTTATCATTCGGAACTAGGTTTCTATAAAATAATGTTTTTTTAATTTTCCATGTCATATGTTTTTTCCATATCAATTTTAAAAATTATATGTCATATGAAGTAGTATAGGTAAATCAGATGCTTAAAAGTTTGAGATTTTACATATTAGGTATCAAAATGAAAGTTTCAAAAGTATATTACCCAAAATAGTATTGAAAAACGTTATTTTTTTCGTGCAATTTACCCATATTAAAATTTTGAATTTGGAATTCAAAACCTACACCTTTCCTGGAGAATTTTTACAGCGGGAGCTGCAATCGGAAGAAACGCTGAATTCATATGATAGAGAGATCTAAACCAACCCAATTAGGTGGCGGTGGTGGTGGTGGTGGCTGCAGCAAGAACTTGTACCGTATGCATATAGGGTTGTAATTCATAGTTTTTTGATTTTTTTTTTGCATAAAATGGTGGTATTTGTGTATTGTACACTACTAGAAAACTAATTATTTCCGGCGCAATTTCCGGCAAAAAAATCCGGCGGAAAAAATAGTGGGGAATTTCCGACGGATTTCCGACGGACATCAAACAAGTCGACTTCCTTTGACTTCTGCCGGAAATACACCACTAGTTACGTAAATGGTATTCAAAAGTTCCTCTTAAATGCATTATGAGATAATATATATGTGTGCGCGCACACACGCGTGGAAATTCAAATAAGAATGCTAACTATTGTGAGAAATAAGAAATAAATGTTAAGAAAATGTTTACAAGTGAATCATTGCAAAAATACATTTGAAGATACATATGTGAACATCTGAATAATCAATAATCTGTAACGATGTTGGTTCACATATGCATATTCAAATACATTTTTCAGGGACTCTTTTAACGATTCACATATTAAACCCGCTTACTTTTTAACTTTTTTATCTTCTCACAATATTTGAACTTTGTTATATACATGGTATGACAAATGATCGTGTGAGAAATAGAGTTAAAGTGAAAAGCTTAAAAAATGATCTCGACCCTTGATCAACTTTAATCTCATCCTAATATGTATCCATATGTGGAGGTCACTTCCTATGCTTCTCAACATAGCTCTCCTTCTCATCGGACCCCAACACTTATATACTATATATATAGATGAGCGATCAAATGAAAACCACTCTTATTTGTACAAACTGTACAAACCACCCTCATACGTCGATTTCATTGCTTAATCTTATGAAATTTTTTCATGAAATTGTTTAATCTTGTGAAATTGTTTCATATAATATTTTTTTGATGAATTTGTTTCATATATGGTTATGAAATTGTTTCATATATGATTATGAAATTGTTTTATATAATATTTAATGAAATTTTAATGAAATTGTTTCATGTATTTCTCTAAAATTAAAATAATGAAGATGATAATATCCATAATTAACACATTCCACAATAAAAATGGTTAATCAACCTCTTATAATTATAAAAAATAAACAAAATAAAAAATTATGATCGATTGAATGAGGTTTGTATAAATTGGGTGGTTTTTATTTGAATGTTTCTATATATATATATATATATATATATATATATATATAGGTATATGTTCAAGCGAGAATCTAAAGTAGCTACCAAAACGCAAGAACAACCCAATAACCTCAAACTTT